TGTGGTGCCATCTTGGTGACATGGCTCTCTGAAATATCTTAGTATATGCAGAATGAGTCAGGATTTGTACTACAGCAGTGATTCTCAAAAAGGTATTTCTAAAGCAGCCATAAGTCTTTTACAATGTTTTATATATGGTTATTATCTTGCTTGAAAACTAGTTTAACAATAATGACATTTCTGGCATTTATCCTAAAAATGATACTCAAACCTAGTTTAAGGTTTCCTAATTTGGGGAGTTAGAATAATCAGCTATCAGAAATATATTTTCATACCAGCAACAAAGCCCAAAATAGCCCTCTCAAACTAAAGGCAAAGTTTTCCTTAAACATAATATTGTAAAATTAACAGTACACTAGAGCAAAGTCCTCATGCCACTATTTGAATTCAGTTAGATTCAACAAATAATTGTATAAGTGATTTACCTGTTAATTTCCTGAAGCAAATATTCAGGATGTCTTGGAAGAAAATGGTTTAGCAAGTCACACATTCCATTTGACTTCTATCTCTGTAACTTGTCTGTTGTGATGATATTGGAAAAGCAGCTTATTATGATTCCATTATGTCATCTATAAAAGTTAAGTGTCTACTCCATTGTCTAACTGTAGGTACTTATCTCATAAATGTTAGCTCCTCTTTCCTTTCTGACTGCTTTAAATCCTTAAAACGAGTTCACTTTATGGATTGTTCCAAAGATTTCCTTCATCCTTAAATTATTAAATTTCCTTAATAATGACTTTGCCAATTTTGTTTCTGTTGCCAAACATTTTTTTCCCCTCTTCCAGTTCATTCTGAAACAAAGTATGAATTTAACAGGGTTTTTCCTGGGCTCTAAACTGCTTTTTTTGGTCTTTTGAAAACAATACTTCTTTGTTGTTATTCAGTCCCTAAGTGTGTTGGAACTCTGCCACCATGCAGCACACCATGCTCCACCGGAGTTTGAAAGTGAAAATCGCTCAGTTATGTCTGACTCTTTGCAACCCCATGGACTATATAGTCCATGGAATTCTCCAGGCCAGAATACTGGAGTGTGTAGCCATTCCCTTCTCCAGGGGATCTTCTCAACCCAGGAATTGAACTGGGATCTCCTGCACTGCAGGTGGATTCTTTACCAGCTGAGCCACCAGGGAAGCCCCGGAGTTTGCCTTTTGGCAAATAAACAAAGCCCTCAAATCAATATCCTATCATCTTTTGGCATGCACCCCCTCCCCACCAAAACAAAAGAAAAATCTCTTATCTTGGGATAACAGGCTCAGAATAGCAAACAGTAAAAAAATAAACTTTTTTTTTTTTTTAAAAAAGAGGATACTCCTGGAGGCCAAGGGTAAATTAAACTCATGACCAGAGAGGGTTCCTCATGAAAACAGCCTTAACTTCTTGCCTTCTACCTCCAGTGTATCCTTTTCCCACAAATATCCTGATTTCTTTAACCATGAAGTTAGAAACTCTGGCACACAGTTGTCCCTTGAACAAAATGGGTTTGCACTGTGCAGGTCCACTTATATACAGTTTTGTCAATAAACAGGCAGAACAGTACTACACAATCAGTGGTTGGTTGATCTCTGATGTGGAATTATGGCTATGGAGAGCTAACTATAAAGTTGTATGTGGACTTGTATATTTAGGGGTCAGCTCCCCAAAGCCTTCACTGTTCAAGGGTCAACTGTATCTGAATGTTACCTTTCCACTTGAAAGATGGGCAAAGTTGCTATTCCATAATTCTTGGCAGCCAGTAGCAAGTTGAGACAAAAAGGAAAATGGGTCCTTCTAATATGATTAACATTTGAAAAATCACTTGGGATATAAGTTGAGGTATTATTTATTTATGACATATTTACATACGTACAAAATTGGCTTTATCCAATACATCATCCTGCATCAGTTCAGTTCAGTTCAGTCGCTCAGTCGTGTCCGACTCTTTGCGACCCCATGGACTGCAGCATGCCAGGCTTCCCTGTCCATTACCAACTCCCAGAGCTTATTCTCCATATTCTGGGAGTAAATATCCAAGTTTTTTAATTTATGTATAACCCAACATCTTTTAGAACATAAAATGTTACCAGTTTGGCTTCACAGAACACAAAATTCCTGTTTAGAAATTTTTCTAGCCAAGGAACAAAGTAAATTTCAACAGCATCTTAAACTAATTTAGCTGGCCCTGAGTGTATTAGTAATTTGCATGATTTTGAATTAATGTATACAATACACTTTCATCTGTTATCTACCTATATTTACTATCATACTACCATTTTGTCTATATCTATTCATTTCAATTTTCTACCTCATTAATCTTTGAGAGAAAGCACAAAGAAAGGGGAAGTAATAATAAGAGAGGAGAAAACTACTGGTATTGGCTCAATCTTTTCTACCCAGAATCTGGGGCCCAGCTCTAGGTTACCCGATAAACTTAGTAACAAGACACTATTAATATGAGTAATCTAAGTATGTTCTGTCAACTGAGGTTGATGTAAAATTACTCTTCCTGCATTTTTTTCCTATTCTCTTCCTTATTCACTTCTTAACTAAAAAGTATACAAACTTCTCAAATTCAGTAAGTAGTTCTAGGAGCACTTCAAACGAAAAAAACAAAACAAAACACACAAACATGACCAAAACAGTAGTGGCAAAGAGCTGTGTTAAAGATAAGTAGTCCCAAGATGCTTGACGGGGAAAAAAAGAAAGTCTCAGCTCAACTCACCCTAAAAAATGCTAGTGGGGGAGTTATAAGGAAGCAAGCAGGAATAGAACAGGACGGCTGGATGCCTGGTGAAGGGAGCTGTGGCCTTAGGCTGATGAGCAGCACATCTCATGTCACAATACCAACAGTAAAAGGCTGCCTGGCCCAGGATGCTGTGGTGTGCAAGAGATGACTTTTCTTGTACCTTGTACAACAAGGAAATCCAAGCATGAAAAAATAAACAAGAAGCTGGGAAAGCTGACTGTACAATCAGTCATGAGCATCAGCCTTTCAAAGGTAACTCTGGGTCAAAAAAGGAATAAGAGGCCAGAATGAGATCATGTATTTATCTTTTCCATCTGCCCTTCCCCCTAGTCCTTACCCACTCACAAAGAGCAGGCGTGCAAATTACCAGCTGCCAGAAAATCAGCTGCACCCAAACCACAGGATAACTCTCATTGCTATCTGATGACCTGCAGACTGTCCTCTAATGGGATGTCAATGTTAGTTATTTTATGAAAACAATCCCCAAAAACATCAATTAAGATATTTGAGATTTGGTAAAATAAAAAGAAAACTCAGATTATTTTTAGGATCTGTAAAATTTCCCTATAATAGAAGGGAAAAAAGAAGAAATATGAAGTATGGGCATATGTTCCTTCATGCCTAACAGTGATGTGTCATTAGTCTGACACCATGATAAAGGGCAGCTTTTTAAAATAAAAAAAACAAATGTTGGAGAAAGGCTTCCCTTAATCATGGAAGATGGAGAAAACACAGATGAAGTGTTCCATAAATACCAGTAAAAAGGGAAAATAAGTATTCTGTTCCTATTATGCTATAGCAACTGGCTACATCTGTCTTCTCTCTCATTATTTTTAATGACACAGATATCTGAATTGCACTCAACAATCATTATACAGGGCATGGAAATTAAAACATAGGTGGAAAATTAATATGTAATTTTATGACCCTCGGGTTAGAAAAAAAATAGAAGTCAAATAAGTACTTGAAATGATATTAAAACAAAGCAAACATGACGCATAATGACAGTACAGGATAACAGCTTCAACACATTAAAAGATTTTATAAGATTGTGCTAATTTTTTTACCTCTAAGGAATTATATAGAAGAGTAAATAAAAATTAAATTACATTTATATAAGAAACGATCTTCAAAAGTTATTTAAACTTTCATATACAGAGTTCAAAAGTATATGACAAAGTATTTATTTTTGATTTGTATAAATCCAAAATTGGTAAAATATATTATTTGGGGGAAAAAGAAGCTTTTGTTAAATACAAACATAATGCACTAAATAAACCAGGTTCACTATAAAATTGTTTCTTTGAAAACCTGCATAAAAAGTAAAGGCAGAATGGCACAAAGTTAGAAAAGCAGTATTTAAGGCAAACTAAATAAGAAGTGGCCTTAAAGTAAGTCATATAATCTCATAAACAATAATTTCCTCTCAAAAACTTCTCTATTACAGCTAGAGAAATAAGTTAAAACAGAAATAATGGCTGCTGTCAAGAGTTTACTTGGAAGCGCTGAATAGTATTATGCAAAAAATACCCAATGCTTCTAATTTAAATAGGCTGAAATCATTTGCCACTTAGCTGTCACAGAGCAATGAAAAAATAAAATGTATCATCCCAATGTTTATCATACAGTATGAATGTGAAATGCTGAAACTTACTTTAAAAAAAAAGGAATTTTTCAGACCATATGTGTATAATGTGATAACCAAAAAGAAAATGATCAATTCTGCTATTCTGGCCCATGTTAAAAATATGCATAGAAAAGTGCACCATCTCCCTACAAAGTAGCTGTCTTACAGTCTGTTGGTGAGCCCACAGCTTAGCATCAGACCTGAGCACATGCACACACAAAAAGCTTCAAAGACTGGCAGGGAAGATATTAATCATGAATTAAAAGAAACAATGCCTTTAAACAATATTCAGTAAACACGTTCTTTAGTCAACTATTTCTTAAAAAACAAAATAGTAATCAAGTACACATCATCAAGTTAAATACCTTAGCACATGAATTTGCACCTTATAAATCTGGTGTATCAAACTGTCCTATAAAAATATTTATAAATTTTTTGGGAACTATGGTACGTGAAATTATATAATCATAAAAAGGACCTGTTTCTTTTCACCTACTGGAATGATACCACACCTTTCTAGAAGAGAAAAACTGCAGCCTACGGGAAATGATCAGAACAGCTGGACTGACTAAAGCTGTCCAGTGTAAGGGTCTGTCTCTTCTCTACCAGTAGCTCCAAGTGAGCAGTGTCAGCAGCCTGGGGCCAGGCTTCTCACACGGTCCTGGGGGGCAGGCGCTGTTTATACATGCCCGCTATTGCTTTGGCCGCACTGTAGATCATCTGCCGACGGGACATGCCCGTGAAAGCCATATGCCAATCAGTCCGGCTGACGTTGAGTAAACTCTTCTCCAGGACTTCACCCACTGTCACCAAAAGGCCAGACCACCTCAGATTGTAGTCCTGGGGAGTCAGACTTTGAGCCTCAGGAAAAAAGAAATTGAGATTTTTAATACATTAAAAAAAAAAAATTTACTGGAACTAGCTATAAGTGACATTTCAAAGTCCCTCAAGTTACTTTTAGTAGAGATTATGACAAACCATGAGAAACACAGCTATGCTGCCGAATTATGAAATTATAAGGCGACAAAACTCGTTGTTAAAATACAATCTGTCTTTTTTAAATTTTTTAAAGATATTTATTTCGGGCTGTGCTGGGTCTTCATTGGTGCGGAGGCTTTCCTGCAGTTGCATGTGCAGGTTTCTCATTGCAGTGACTTCTCTTGTGGAGCCTGGGCTCTAGGGTGCACAGGCTTCAGTAGCTGCGGCACATTTGCAGTTCCTGGGCTCTAGAGCACAGGCTTGATAGTTGTGATGCCTGTTGGCCATTTGTATGTCTTCTTTGGAGAAATGTCTATTTAAGTCTTCTGTCCCTTTTTGATTGGGTGGTGGTTTTGATACTGAGCTTCAAGAGCTGTTTATTTTGGAGATTAATCCCCTGTCAGTCACTGTCATTTGTAAATATTTTCTCCTGTTCTAAGGATTGTTTTTTCATCCTATTTATGATTTCCTTTGCACTGCAAAAGCTTTTAAGTTTCATTGCTGCTACTGCTAAGTCACTTCAGTCGTGTCCAACTCTGTGCGACCCCATCCCTGGGATTCTCCAGGCAAGAACACTGGACTGTGTTGCCATTTCCTGTGAAAGTGAAGTCGCTCAGTCATGTCCGACTCTTCGCGACCCCATGGACTGCAGCCTACCAGGCTCCTCCGTCCATGGGATTTTCCAGGCAAGAACACTGGAGTGGGGTGCCATTGCCTTCTCCGTTAAGTTTCATTAGGTCCCATTTATTTTCATTACTCTAGGAGGTGGATCCAAAAAGATACTGCTGCGATTTATGTCAAAGACTCTTCTGCCTATGTTTTCCTCTAAGAGTTTTGTAGTGTCCAGTCTCACATTTAGGTCTTTAATCCATTTTGAGTTGAGTTTTGCGTATGGTGTTAGGAAGTATTCTAATTTCATTCTTTCACATGTTGTTGTCCAGTTTTCCCACCACCACTTACTAAAGAGACTGTCTTTTCTCCATTGTTATTCTTGCCTCCTTTGTCATAGCTGAGGTAACCACAGGTGTGTGTGTTTATCTCTGGACTGTCTACCCTGTTCCACTGACCTATGTGTCTGTTTTTGTGCCAATACCATACTGATTATTATGAAGTCAGGCAGCCCAATTCCTCCAGTTGATTTTATTTTCTCAAGATTGCTTTGGCTATTTGTGGTCTTTTGTGTTTCCATATAAATTGTAAAATTCTTTGTTCTAATTCTGTGGAAAATGCCATTGATAATCTGATATGTATCGCGCTGAATCTGTAGATTGTTTTGGGTACTACAGCCATTTTCACAATATTGATTCTTCCGATCCAAGAACATGGTATATCTCTGCATCTGTTTGTGTTGTCTCTGAGAACTTTAAGATGTTGATTGAAGAACAGAGTATAAGTCTTCTTTCTGCTTAGGCAGGTTTATTCCTAAGTATTCTTTTTGATTCAATGGTAACTGAGATTGTTTCCTTGATTTCTCTGATATTTCATTGCTAATGTATAGGAATGCAACAGATTTCTATGTATCAATTTTGTATCCTGTACTTTGACTGAATTCACTGATAAGCTCCTGTAGTTTTCTGATAGCATCTTTAGGATATTCTATATATAGTATCATGTCATCTGCAAACTGTGACAGTTTTACTCTTTTCCAACTTGGATCTCTTTTCTTTTTTTAACCTTCTCTGGTTTCGGTGGCTAGGAATTCCGAAATTTTGTTGGCTAAGAGTGCTGAGAGCGGGCGTCCTTGACTCGTTCCTGACTTTAGAGGAAATGCTTTCCGTTTTTCACCACTGAGAATGATGACTGCTGTGGGTTTATCATATATGTTGAGGCAGGTTCTTTCTGTGCTCACTTCCTGGAGAGTTTTTATTATAAATGGATGTTGAACTTTGTCAAAAGCTTTTTCTGCATCTATTGAGATGATCGTATGGTTTCTATTCTTCAATTTGCTAATATGGCATATTACACTGGTTAATTTGCAGACATTGAAGAATTCCTGCATTCCTGGGATAAATCCCATTTGATCATGGTGTGTGAGCCTTTTAAGGTATTGCTGGATTCAGTTTGCTAGTATTTTGTCGAGGAGTTTTGTGTGTATGTTCATCAGTGACATTGGTTTGTAATTTTCTTTTTTTGTGATTATCTTTGTCTGGTTTTGCTATCAGGGTAATGGTGGCCTCGCAGAACGTCCCTGAGTGTTCCTTCCTCTGGGATTTTTGGGAAGATTTTAAGAAAGGTGAGTGATAACTCTTCTCTAAATGTATGATAGAATTTGCCTGTGAAGCCGTCTGGTTCAGGAGTTGTTTTTTTTTTTTTTAATTATTATTATTATTGGAAGATTTTAAATCATAGTTTCAATTTTAGTACTTGTGACTGAACTGTTTGTATCTCCTACTTCTTCCTGGTTCAGTCTATAAGGGTTGTACCTTTCTAAGAATTTGTCTATTTCTTCTAGGTTTTCCATTTTATTGGCATACAGTGGCTTATAGTAGTCTCTTATGATCTTTTTATTTCTGCTGTGTCAGTTGTAAACATCCCCTTTTTCATTTATAATTTTATGGATTTGAGTCCTCTCTTTTTCTTGATGGCTAAAGGTTTGTCAATTTTATCTTTTCAAAGCACTGGCTTTTAGTTTCATTGATCTTTCCTATTGCTTTCTCTCTATTTCATTTACTTCTGCTCTGATCTTTATGATTTCTTTTGTCTGCTAACTTTGTGTTTTGTTTCTCCTTCTTTATCTAGTCCCTTTAGGTGTAAGGTTAGGTTGTTTATTTGAGGTTTTTCTTATTTCTTGAGCTAAGACTGTATTGCTATAAACTTCTTTCTGAGAACTGCTTTTGCTGCATCCCACGGGCTTTGGGTTGTTGTGGTTTTGCTGTCATTTCTCTAGTACTTTTTTATTTCCTCAGTGATACACTGGTTATTTAGTATCACTGTTAAGCTTCCATGTGTTTGTGCGTTTTTATAGTTTCTTTTCCCTGTAACTGATTTCTAACCTCATAGCATTGTGATTGGAAAAGATGCTTGCTATGGTTTCAATATCCTTAAATTTACAGATGCCTGATTGTGACATCTATGTGATGTGATCTATCCTGGAGAAATGTCCCATTTGCACTTTGAGAGGAAAGTATATTCCTGCTACTTTCAGATGGAATGTCTTATAAATATCAATTAAGTTTACCTGGTCTAATGGGTCAATTAAGGTACATGTTTATTAATTTTCTGTCTGGATGATCTGACCAGTAGTGTAAGTGGGTTGTTAAAAATCCCCACTACTATTGTTATTTTTTTAATTTCTCCTTCTATGGCTGTTAACATTTACATTATATTGAGGTGCTCCTATGCTATGTGTATATATGTTTACAACTGTTATATCTTTTTCTTGGACTGATCCCTTGACCACTGTTTTTTAATTGAGGCATTGTTGATTTACAATGTTATATTAGTTTCAGGTATTCAGTGAAGTAGTCCAATTATACATATATATGAATATATCTGTTATTTTTCAGGTTCTTTTTCACTATAGGTTACTACAAGATACTGAATAGTTTCCTGTACTATACAGTAGATATTGTTACCTATTTTATACAGAGTAGTGTACAGTTATTAACCCCACACTCCTAATTTATCCCTCCCAACTCCTTCCCCTTTGGCAGCCATAAGTTTATTTTTCATGTCTGAGAGTCTACTTCCGTTTTCTAAATAAGTTCACTAGTATCTTTTTCTTTTTTTACGTATAAGTCAGATCATATGATACCACTTATGAGACTCTGATTTCCTTTGAAAAACAACCAGTCAGAAGTTCATGTAGCAATATGGACTTATGAGGTGTCTGAAAAGAAGGGAGGCAGGCAGTCTTGTAGGACTGACTCCTTAATCTGTGGGATCCAACACTCTTTATAGGTAGAAAGTGTCAGAACTGGGTTGAATTATAGGCTGTCCAGCAGGTATTGGATAACAGTTCGGTGGTGTGGGAAGAACTACCTCACCCCCTCACACACACACAGAGGAAATGGTTTCAGAAATCTTTTTACTGTTCTAGTTCTAAATTTTATTAATTTTACCAATTAGTTCTTAAGTGATACTGTATTATTGTTTTTGGTTAGGTTACAAGCCAGACTCACAGAATAAAATGGAAAACTTCTACCTCTCTGCATTAGATGCATCAGTCATCTATTCTTCGAATATCTTTTACACCTCACTTGTAACACCACTGTGCGTGTATGTGTGCCCAAGCTGCTTCAGTCATGTCCGACTCTGTGTGATGCCGTAAACCGTAGCCTGCTAGGCTAATCTTAGAACTCAATTTTGGGGGAGCATTAAAAGGCTTCACTAAGATAATTAAGTTAAATCACATCAAACTGCCAAAATGTGGCTGTTTTTTCTAACTTCAAAGAGCAATTTTGTATGGTTCAACCTAATGGTTATAAACTGCCATTGTTAATTCAAGAATATTTTCCTAGAAAATCAACAACAGTATGTAATTTTTCTAAATTATTGGTATAGCAGTAGGCATAACATTTGTTTACCATCTCTTAACCACCCTCATACTGGAGTGAATTTAACATTACCATGTATATATAAAAATGCTTTCTTCAAACTTCTGAAAAGAAATTGTGGTAAAAATTATTATATCAGTGGTATGTTATTATGGTAACAAAACTTTAAGCATCAATTCTTATTCCCCATCTAAAATGTAAACCCCTAAGAAGGTCACAGGTGGCTTTAAGGGGCTCTATAAACACATAAGCCAAGTTTATATGTGAGTGCATACATCATACATACTTTCTCTTGGGGGAGAATCCTAAGAGAATTCGCAAAAATCTAAGGTCCCAAATAACTTTTGAGAGTTCTGAAATGACATTTATGAGTATAAAGAGTCCAATGTAAATAAACTTACATTCCATTTTGTTCAAGAAAGGATTAAAAGTAACAAAAATGTAGAAGGAATGAATCTCATTATAGATTAATGCTTACATTCTTCTGGAAACTATGTGGGTAAGTAAACATTTTTCAGGAAACTGAAAAGACATTTGCCTTTCATCCAAGGTTTGTAAACTTGCTTCTAAATATGTTTCCGCATGTTTTTAACGATGAACAAATTAAAGACGAAGATGAGGACAAAGAAAAAGGAACTAGAGTAACCAGGAAAAATGAAAATGTGAGATAAATGAGACAGTATCTCAAAGGTTAACATAAAATCAGAATAGGTAAATTTTTTCTAACCCAAAGGTAATGAACACAATCATAAAAATAAGCAAAACAATGAAGAAAAGAGCAATTAACCATATAATAGATTTACCTTTTCAAAGACCACTGGAAAATAAAAGTAGGGAGGTACTGAAACAACATGGAAGGAACAGAAATTGAAAAAGAGAAAAGATTAAAAACAGTGAAGCAAAATCAAGAATATACCATATTTTCAATAAAAATTTTGAGAACAATATTTCAAGCTTTCCTGGAGCATAATGAAAAAGCATAAAACTAACCTGTTGTACAAACTCCAAGGGTACTGGTGTGGCTTGTGTAAATGCTTCCAGATGAATACCATGCACAGGGTCTTCAACTATCAGACAGCCGATGTCAAACCATCTGCAACAGAACATGAGTTTCAAGTTGTGGATGTGCTAAGTAAGTTCTACGAATTGATAAAGTACTGTCCTTCGGATAAAACACTAGCAGACTAATTAAAGGATAAACCATAAAAACAACATATAAAATTGCCCTGTTGGCTTAATTCCAAGAGGAGAGGGGAAAATGGGTAAGAACAAAAATAACTGAAAATCATGCAATTCCTTTTCTTGCTAAGATTTGTGGAGAAGAATGGCAATTAGAAGTGCTCAAATATGCAACAGATAAATTTATTCATCTGAAAATGCAAATAGCTTATAATTAAAAACATCATTTGCTGACATATGGGAAATTTTATACTACCAACTCTATGATTAGTATATAGCCAAGTTACAAAGTTACTGACTTAAAAAATAAGCTCATTCAGGAAATAACAAATTCTCTCCTGATTCCTGATAAATCTTTCTAATCACAATTTCTGAATTGTTCACAATGAATCAGACTTTGATTTGAGGACAGCTTCATGAAATCAAGAAAACTTTCTTCCATTTTAAGATACACATTAAAAAGTGATAAATTTTAAAACTGACTTAGGTGAGGTTATCAGTACATCATCAGCATTTTAATTAACCAGAAGCAGGAAATCATGGTTTTAAATGAGAAGATACAGAGCAAGAAGATTTTAAAATATGCAGATTAAAGCGCTATGAAATACAAATTAGGAAACTTTTTTTACACATATTCAAAGAAACAACAAAATAGTAAACAGAATAACAACTTTGTTTGATAAAATGGCAGTTTATTACGTCTACAGTATTCATAACGTAAAACTTTGCTTGAAATTGAGAGCCTTGAATAATTTATCTTATATGAATCATTATTTTCCTTGGGATATGAATGGATATTTTATTTTACACAATTGTGTATTGTGCAGACAGCAGAGAACTGCAGTGACTCAGCTCCCAGGCACGGCGCGGCCTTCCTGAAAAGCAGCGCCTCTGAAGGTACCTCCCACAATGCCTGTGAGCACACTCTAGAACTCCCCGTCTCCACACTACTCTCATGCTCCCATGTGTCAGCCTGAGTATCCCATTCTCCTCCAACTCAAATCTAACGTGCCGTCTCTGTCATGATCACTGAGACCCCTTCAGCACCTCTCGCTAGTGCTGCTGGCCAAGTAATTTTGTCTTCTCCCCTCCTCCTTCCTGTCCTCCTACCCACCTCCACTCCCCACCCAGCAGGAGGAAAAGTGGTGGTCTCCACTGTTCATGCTCAAGGACAGTCACCAAGGAACTCTCTCCTCCTCACCCTCTCCTTGTGGCTGGTGAAATACGGCAGACTTGGCCAAATCCTATAAGAAGTCACCTGGACTTAAGAATGGTAGTTCCAAGACTTGGATTTTATGTAGCAGAAAAAAATCGAAATAGAACCTGAGGAGCTGATATAGGTATGCCAGTTTGTATTTTACCAAAGAAGGACTATCCAGTATCACCGGTTACTTTCCAAAAGAACATTTTAATCCATCTCACACATAACCCAATATTTTTAAACTTGATAGGTTAATTTCAGAATAAGGACAGTTCATGCTTACATAGGTATTTTTCCATTTTGGTACACACGATGCTAATTTTCCTCATGGAGTGTGAACTGATGCAAAGGTCATCACAGATAGCTAGGTCTTTACTGGCTCTGCTCTGTTAGGGGCCAGACAACATTGGTCTTTTCTTGCCTTAGTTATAAGCATGCATATCTCTATCTTCTGTGCCTTTATTTCCTATGGGGATATCACAGAGATTAGTAGCCAAAGCAAACTATCAAGTGTTTTGGGTTGTGGATTTGCTGTTTGCTCTCATGTTCTTCCTTTATAAAGGTGCGCTTTAAGATCTTCAGCCGATGCTGAGCACCTCCCAGTCTGGACTCAGGTCAGTCGTCACTGCAGTGCACCAAACCACCCCTTTCACACACCTCACCACAGTTTACTACAGCAAACAGTGAACTGTCTCAGGATTACCTGAAGACTCTCGAGTTTCTTATAAACAATACCTGGCTTTAAAAGACTGTGAGCTGAGGCATCGACAAAGACAGCACCTTATCATTACACCAAAAGGAGGCTAAATGAGGCCCATACACTGGATTCAGCAGACAAGGATCATAATGACTCATTCTAAAGAAAGCGGAGGTGAAGGTAGTCACAATAGGAGAAAAGATACAGATATCCAATAGATAAATTACATCTATTAAAAAAAAAAACCAGTGTACTGGCTACACAGCAGCAGACAGGTACATGGGAGATACTCAAACTAAAGAACAGAGGGGAAGACTAGAGTGAGCAAGTAGAGGGAAGAGGGGACTGACCATGGGAAATGGAGGGTACAGTCAGAGGTGAACAATGTGTCACTGGAGTCCTAGCAAGAGAAAATGGGCCAGAAGCCAGTTCTGAAGGTAAAATGGCTAAGAACTTTCCAAAACGGACAAAAGACATAAATCTAGTGAAAGATTCTTTCTAGAATCAAGCTTGGTGAATCCACAGAAGTTTAATACATAAGCAAACACATGCACACCTATACATACCATAGTAAAACTGCAAAAACACAATGACAAAAAAGATCCTAAATGCAACAAAACAACACCTTTTCTTCACAGAAACAACAAGCTGGATAGCTGATATAACAGAAATGATGGAAGCCAGAAAACAGTACAATGGCATCTTTAAAGTATTATATAAGAAGAGATCTGCCAACCTTGTCCAGAGAAAACACCCTACAAAAAGAAAGGTATGTAAAGGCGTTTTCGGACAAAAGCTAAGAGAACTCATCGCTAAAGTCTAATGGAGTACAAAGAATGTTTTAGGCAGAGTGAGAATGATCCCAGACCTAAAACCAAAAATGAAGGAAGGTCTTCAAAGAATAAAATGTAAGTGAACAGAATGCACAGAACACTAACAATATCTTGAGTTTAAAATATATGCACATTTATATATTATCTTATATATATGCAATTTAGATATATCTTATATAAATTAAGATAACTTACAATACTGCACAAGATGTCGGGGGTAAATCATATTACCAAGTCATTATTTGTACTATAATGTAATACATGGAAAAGGCATGATGGAATCTCTAAGGTAACCCTTACATCAATATTAAAAGGTTAATAGAGGGGAAAAAAATGAAATAATAATGACCAGTGGATTGTTGCTTGCTGCTTATGTAGAAAGTTCAAACTTCCCAACCGAGTATTCAAAGCTCTTCAGTCTGTCCCCAAAGTACTCCTGACTTTCTATCCAACAATGTTCAGCCAAGCTGATATAATCTCTGACACCTAAATATATCTTAATCATCTTCATACTCTTCCTCCACATAAGAATGCCCTACCTATTCTTTTTCACTTATCCAAATTTTAACTACTCTTCAAACTTCAGCTCAAGAACCAATCATTCATGACTCTTATCTGACACTATTCCACATCAAATTTCCAGTGAAAATATATGTAACATTTCCTGTAAGTGATTTACACACTTACAGAGTCATTTAAAACTGTTTATCTTGTATATATTTTCTCTCCCACCTGGTCTATAATAAATCCTCAAAGTTGGAGTACATTTTTTGTATACTATAGCTACAAAGTACTAGGCACAATGTTACTCAATACTAAAACAAAAATTAAATGCAACAAAGGGAAAGTCAAAGTCACTCAGTCATGTCTGACTCTTTGCGACCCAATGGACTGTACAGTCCATGAATTCTCCAGGACAGAATACAGGAGTGGGTAGCCTTTCCCTTCTCCATGGGATCTTCCCAACCCAGGGATTGAACCCAGGTCTCCCACATTGCAGGCGGATTCTTTACCAGCTAAGCCACAGGGAAGCCCAAAAGCAACAAAACCACACAGTAAATAGGAAGAAGGTAGGTCTCAACAGTTGCGAAGCTATTCCAAAATAAGGCAATTCTGCAAATTAAAAAAAACTCTCCAATCAAAAAATCCATCTATTGAAAGTTTAATGCCCTCAAAAACAATGACAAATCATGTTGTTAGAGGTTTTTTCCCAGCCTACATAGATGAGAGGTAGTGCAGAACTCAAACCTGGTGACTGCCTCCAGGCTATCTTGCCAGACCTCCCATTACTCTGAACAGCTATGCAAGATGTTTGTGTTTGTTACGGAAGTCAGCATCCAAGTCAAAGCTACACCATTGTATCTTTTGATAATTATTAACACAGTCTTAGAATGCAGGCAACACAATGTAAATTTTATAATAAAAAAGGAGAAAACAAGAGTAGAAATGTGAGCGAAGCTACATAGGTCACATAACTAATGAGATGATATAGCTAGACCATAATATATTTTCTGTCTGGTTCTAAAATAAAATACATTTTTTACTAGACATTCAGTGTGAGCAATTCTATTTTTGCTCCTAAGTGAAATGTAATAAGCCACTCACTGAACCCATTACACACCAACAAACTGGACAACCTAGAAGAAATGCATAAATTCCTAAAAACACACACAACCTACTAAGGACCGAAACATGGCAGCATTATTTCCAACAACCAAGGCATGGAAGCAACCTAAGTGTTTGTCCATGATAAACAAAATGTGATTTATATATACACATTCAAACACATATATGTATACATGTAGTGTGGTATTTATATTTATATGCATGTGCTTATAAAATAGTATCTTATTCCATTAAAAAGTAAGGAAAACCTTGCCATTTGCAATAATATGGATGGAATTAAGGTAATTAAAGTAAGTCAGACAGAGAAAGATAAATACCATATGTGCTCCCTTACCTGTGGGGGGAGTGGGGAGTGAATTCACAGAAACAAAGGACAGACTGGTGGATGGAGAGGCAGGAGTGGGAGACAGGGTAAAACGGATAAAGGGGATTAAAAGGTACAAACTTCCAGTTATAAAATAAGTCATGAGGATGTAATGTACAGCATGGGATTAATAATGAATTTTTCATATTTGAAAGTTGCTAACAGAAAAGATCTTGTCATGAAAGTTCTCTTTATAAGAAAAAAACAATTAAAAAAAAAAAAAAGCCTCTTACTTGTCAGGAAGCAATTCTGCAATGAAGTTTTCTACTGACACAGCAGTCTGTTTTTCATGAATCACTCCAGTTCGACGCAAGCTATCTATCCGTTCCTGGGCACCCTGAATAGAAACAGTGTATATTAGAAACTATTTCAAGTTAATCAGTATTAACTATGATAATTGATGATTATATAAGTAATATGTGTATACATTTATACCCAAATACATATATACTCATTATAAACATGAAAACACACACACACACAAAAAGAAAAAACACAGAACAGAGAGTAAACAGTGAAGAAGCGCGCTCACACTCCCCTTAATATTGATAGTCTGCAACATATCCTCCAAGTTATTCCTATACGCATTATTATTTTGGTTGCTATTGTGAAATGGATAATTTTATATTCCATGTTCTAACTGGTTATTACTAATATAAGAAAACTATGTGCTTTTTAATGTTTATCTGGCAAGAGGTCATCTTAAATGTTTCAATCCTAGTAGTTCTTTGCTTGATTCTCTCAAATTTTTCTAGGTAAACAATCTTATCAATAGTAAATATGTTGTTTCTCTTCTGAGTCCTTTTATATATATGCCATGGACAGAGGAGCGTGGTGGACTATACAGTCCATGGGGTTGCAAAGAGTTGGACATGACTGAGCGACTTCACTTTTAAAATATGCACCAAAATGACAGTTTTTTTAACAGCAGTGTTTTCATTACACCAAAGCTTATTCAAGAAAATAACTGCCATTTATGAAATAAAACTGAGGGGCTGAGAATACTATACAGATAACTCAAAAATCATGAATTAAATATATATCTATAGTAGGAAACTAAAACCTAGACTAACGAGGACAAGGCTGCCATTTAGTACTTTCATTTTAATCACTTCATAAAAGTACTCATGAATGATGTTATCAGAATGAGTACAAGAAGCTAAATAAAACATTTCTAAGTAAAACTAGTCATGGATAATACACCTATTTTTATCATGAACAGCAGCACTAAGCAGTGAATGAGATTATGAGGTCAATTCTTCTTCAAAAATAAAAATTAAGAAAGCCAGGGCACTTTTAGAAACAATAGAATTTATTTCAGAGACAAGTTAAAAAAAAAAAAAGAAGTGACAACTGTGTGAGAACATGTAAACCAACTTGTCAACAGTTGGTAAACATGAAGATCAAAGAAGATGTGATTTAAACCACAACAGAATCAAGCTATATTTCTGCTTACTCTTATATCTCGGCTACCTAGAATAGCATCTAACTTAACAGATACTCAGTAAGAGCTTACAACATGAAAAAGTGAACAAGAGGAAAATCAAGGGCTTCTAAAGGCCTACAGAGCTAACGTTAGGAATCTAAATATGTAAATATGGCATCACCAAATTGAATGAGGAGATCACTACTGAATTTGGAAGAAAATACAGCAGCTAAGATGAACTTAATTCTTTGTATGGGATAAAGTAAATCTGCCTAATTAACTCCTCCCAAAAGGTAATTATGGCTAATTTTTATTATAAAAGTGTTTAAATAAATGTTAATTCAGTAAAAACTACTAGGGGATTAGTGGGCTGTTTAAGAGATTCATCCGCAACTTTTTAAAGATGGTACCTCAACTATGTACCATAAACAAATAGTCCTAGATTTCATGCTCCCAGGAAACAGAAACTAAGTCGGTTCATTTTTTACTACCCTATAGCACAGGGTTTTATTCTGCCTAAGGTTCACAAAATATTTACCTGAAATTAATTAGCATCTATGAAAGATAGGATGGTGAGTTGGGAAGACAAGTTTACTTCTTGTTTTTATTCATGGAATCCAGAAAATGCAGAGTGGGTAAATCAGCCGCTCTCCTCCTCTGACAAGAGCATTTACTTAAATGCACATCTTTTAGAATCACAAGTAGAGACACTTTAATATTAGTCCCATGTTTTGAGAAGGAAATTTTAACTTTATTTTTCAGCAGTGAAGGGGGAATCAGAAACTAGTCAGTTTAAAGGCCTGGATAATTCAGAGTAATTATCTCAGAACTGAAATAAGATGCAGAAAGGCCTCTAAAGCTTACACTGTCCTCTGAGAGCTTAAACGAAGCAACTTGGTCCAAATAACCAAAATTACACACTTCTTCATAATTTCTAATGGATGGTAACTACATGTCTGTTGAATATAACTTATAAGACAGTGGTCATAAGTATACCTAGTTTTTCAGTAAAATTAAAATTTAGCATTAGAGAAGTCTTGAGAGCTTCCTAACTTTAATTATGGTTGATTGATTTCCTACATCATAAAAGCAAGAGAGTTCCAGAAAAACATCTACTTCTGCTTTATTGATTATGCCACAGCCTTTGACTGTGTGGACCACCACAAATAGTGGAAAATTCTTCAAGAGATGGGAATACCAGACCACCTGATCTACCTCCTGAGAAATCTGTATGCAGGTCAAGAAGCAACAGTTAGAACTGGACATGGAACAAGAGACTGGTTCCAAATCAGGAAAGGAATACGTCAAGGCTGTATATTGTCACCCTGTTTATCTAGCTTATATGCAGAGTATATCATGAGAAATGCTGGACTGGATGAAGCACAAGCTGGAATCAAGATAGCCGGGAGAAATACCAATAACCTCAGATACACAGATGACACCACACTTATGGCAGAAAGCAAAGAATAATTAAAGAGCCTCTTAATCAAAGTGAAAGAGCCTCTTAATCAAAGTGAAAGAGGAGAGTGAAAAAGTTGGCTTAAAACTCAGCATTCAGAAAACTAAGATCATGGCACCTGGCCCCATCATTTCATGGTAAATAGATGGGGAAACAATGGAAATAGTGACAGACTTTTATTTTGGGGGGCTCCAAAATCAATGCAGATCGTGACTCCAGCCATGAAATTTAAAGATGCTTGCTCCTTGGAAGAAAAGTTATGATCAACCTAGACAGAGTATTAAAAAGCAGAGACATTACTTTGCCAACAAAGGTTCATCTAGTCAAAGCTATGGTTTATCCAGTAGTCATGTATGGATTTGAGAGCTGGACCATAAAGAAGGCTAAGCACCGAAGAATTGATGTTTTTGAACTATGGTGTTGGAGAAGACTCTTGAGAGTCCCTTGGACAGCAAGGAGATCCAACCAGACCATCCTAAAGGAAATCAGTCCTGAATATTCATTGGAAGGACTGATGCTGAAGCTGAAACTCCAATACTTTGGCCACCTGATGCGAAGAACTGACTCAACTGAAAAGACCCTGATGCTGGGAAAGATTGAAGGCGGGAGGAGAAGGGCATGACAGAGGATGAGATGGTTGGATGGCATCACTGACTCAATGGACGTAAGTTTGAACAGGCTCTGGGAGGTGGTGATGGACAGGCAGGCCTGGCATGCTGCAGTCCATGGGGTTGCAAATGGTCAGACACGACTGAGCAATTGAACTGAAACAAATTCGTATGTGTAAAGGAAAACTTAGGTTTAGTTCAAAAAAGCCATTCACTTCAAATAAAGCAGATGGAGAGAAAAAAATCTGGTTTGAAATTTTAATACTCTGCTTTATTTTCTTCTCATTAGCTCCCTCTAGTGTACCCAAAATAAGCAACTGATAAAATTAAAAATCAGTTTGATATTTATATCAGTTTCAATGAATTTTAAGCTTGTATTAAAGACTGTGGAAAAGGAAACCGTGTCTAAATTTGAAGGGCAAAAACCAATACTACAACAAATCTGTCAAGTAATAACAAAATCACAACATGAACTGTTAATGTTCATAAAACAAGGTTTTTTACAGAAAAAAAATCTCCATCAGCCTTTCAAGTTCAGTACCTACTTACCTGAAGTATCTTTGATGTAATGATATTTAGCATAATAAAATATTGAAGACTCAAGCCTTAAAAACCATGAAATTCTGAGTTATATTCCAGAAATCATATAGTGATCTATCATTAGAAAGTATTAACGACCTATCAGCTGACAACTTTATCTGGTCCTTTTTCTGATTTTTTTTTCCAGAACAATCAGAAACCAGATGACTTGCCAGAAGATTTTACTGAGTCACTGTGTCATTTGCGTCCAGGACATCCAAAACTTTATTTGGAGTTGTCCCTCTGGATGACACTCGGGAGGATTTCATGTTCTGAGGCAATCTGGGGACATGAGGTATGTCTTTATTTTCTACTGGGAGAGGGCAGAGCTTATAAAGAGGAGATGAGAAAGGAGACTCCATTACAAGTATGTATTCAGTCAGAACATTTTAGGAAAGAATGCATGTGGAAACTGAGGAAGGAGAAGCAGAGTTGCTAAAAACTATCTGGGTCTACCCCGGCCTTGCACAGTCTTTGTGTATCACCAGAAGTGCAGAGAGACAAGTGTGAAGACCGTGCAGTGTCTGATGGTAAAGGTACTATCACAGTATGACAACAGATGGGCAGCTAGAGTTCTCGTAAGGAAAATATCTGTTCCAGTAAGGTTTGCTTACCCAAGCTTCGAAACAGCTCCCAGAGTGAAAATGTCTTCTGCATTAGACTGTTTAGTTGAGAAAATTACTTTTAAAGGTTTACCCTAGCACTCTGAATTGTACTGTTTGTGGTTTGATACCAAATTACCTCAATAAGGCTGCTAGATAATCATTTAAAAAAAAAAAAAAGGCACTATTCATGTCTGTAAACAAAACAAAGATCTATACTCCTGTAGAACTTAAATTCTAGTGGGGGAATAAAGCATTAAAAATAAAAATAATATAAATTATATAGTAGGTCAGAAAATACTGAATGCTATAGGAGGAAAAAAAGGGTTCGAGGGATCAGGCGTGCAGATGAGTGGGCGCAGCCTGCAGCAGGCAGTCAGGACAGGCCTCGCGGCACAGGGAAGACCTGAGGGCTTGGAGGAGGTTAGGGGCCAGCCAAGTAGGCATGTGAGCAAAGTGTCTCCCAGAGAGCTAGTGAAAAGGCTAGGAGAGCGCAGCCTGCTAGATAAGGGTGAAGACCTGCAAGGAGGCCACTACGGCTGGCATGCAGTGAGCAAGGGGCAAGACTACAGAAGACGGAACCACAGGAAAAATGGAGGTGTTGCCACTGTGGAGAACAGTACGGAGGTTTCCTGAAAAACCACAAACAGAACTACCATATGATTCAGCAACCCCACTCCCGGGCATGTATCTGGAAAAGACAAAAACTCTATCTCGAAAAGATACATACACCCCAATGTTCATCAATAGATGAATGGATAAATAAGACGTGGCACTGCCATTTGCAGCAAAATCATGGACCTAAAAGATTATCATACTAAGTGAAGTAAATCAGAGAAAGACAAACATGATATTGCTTATGTGAAATTAAAAAAAAAAGTCCAAATGAACTTATTTACAAAACAGAAACAGATTCACAGACACAGAAAACAAATTTACGGTTACCAAAGAAGAAAGGGGATGCGGAATAAGTTAGGAGTTTGGGATTAGGCTTCTGTGGTGGCTCAGATGGTAAAGTGTCTGTCTGCAATGTAGGAGACCCAGGTTCAATCCCTGGGTCGGGAAGATCCCCTGGAGAAGGAAATGGCAGCCCACTCCAGTACTCTTGCCTGGAAAATCCTATGGACTGAGGAGCCTGGTAGGCTACTGTCCATGGGGTCGCAAAGAGTCAACACAACTGAGAGACTTCACTTTCACTTTCATTTTGGGATTAGCAGATACACACTACTATATCTACAAAACAAACAAACAATAATAACCTACTGTATAGCACAGGGAACTATACTCAATATGTTCTAGTAACCTATAATGGAAAAGAATCTAAAAAAGAATACACACACACATACACACACATATATATGGTATAACTGAATTATTTTGCTATACACCTGAACACTGAAAATCAACTATACTTCAATGAAAAAAAAAATTAAAAAATAGGCCAGTTCAGCCAGGTCATATGGTGCTGTGGAAACCATGGTGAGGAATTTGGATTTTTACACTAAGGGAAACATAAAGTTCTGAAAAGAACAGTGACATGGGTTGACCTAGTGTGCTGAAAGAATTATCCTAGTTCCTCTGTTGAAGATAACCTACAGGGCTACAAGGGTAGAAACTGATGACCTGTTAGAAGGTGAATGCAAGATTTCAGCAAGACCTTGTGATGGCTTCACCCAGGGTGGAGGCAATGAAGACAGTGATGAGCAGTCAGATGCTGGATGTATTTTGAAGGTATAGTGAACAAGATTTCCTGATGAAATGGACATGGGTAATGAGAGAAATCAAGGATGACTCCAGGTTTCTCACCTGAGAAAATGGAAGAACACAGATGTCATCAATTGAGATGGAGAAACCGTGGGGAAACAGATCAGAAAGAAAGAAAAGTAGCTGAGGACTAGACGTACTGAGACATTCAAGTGAAGGTGTCAAAAAGGCAACTTTTATATAAACCGAGTTTACATGAGCGGTCTACGCTGGAGATATGAACCCAAATCTGTCGGCACACAGCGGCTACTCAAAGCCGTGGGACTGGGTGACAGCATCACGAGGCTGGGGAGAAAAGCAAGCGCCGACAAAGAAAGCAGAAAGGGATCAGAGGCAGGGGAGAGACCAAGTGTGGCATCTGCGAGCATCATAGACAGTACAGAGGAGTCTTAAGGCCCACGCTAGCACAAAGTAGACGGAACTACACTGGTGACCTTGAGAGCACATCCTCAGTGGAGTGGTGGGGGGCGACACCCTGACGGAGGTGAGTGTTAAGAGAATATGAAGAAAGAACTAGAGATAAAAGTGTTGGCAACTCCGGAAGTTTTGCTGCAAAATGAAGCAAAAAGCTAAGGTAGGAGGTGATGGGGAAAGAGGGGTAAAAAAACTAAGGTTTTCTTTGGTTTATTTTTTCCTTTTAAGGTGGGAGCAGTGTCTGTATGCTGATGAACTGTTCATTTGTTCTGCATGTCTGTATACTGATGGTGATGATACAATGTGTATGAGAGGGAGGGCAGAGCTCCTGGAACTTTAGCACCTAGAAGGCTAGAGGGGACTCTGTCTAGTATGGTAATAGGATTGGTTTGGATAATTGACAGTGTTTTTTTGTTTGTTTGTTTTTAATGATTATAGGCCAGAAGACTATACGAGATTCAAGTGGAGGTGTGAGTATGCAAGTGTATGAAATCTATCATCTGCCACTACTATGTAAGGATTATAGACACCTACAGATGCAATCACAAGGTCATCTTCCTTCACTATCAAAAACTACAGCAGTGTCTTCCTTTTGGTAAGTGCATTATAAGATTTAATAGGTTTCTACATGCTGGTGAGACCCTGGAAAACTCTGGTTATACACAGGCATTGTGTCTATAACTTGCCAGGTAGTTGGGTCTCTAAGGTAAGTCAGTTAAATGGACAAGGAAAGGGAAGACTCAAAGTAAGCAAGCTAAGAAAGCTTTTTCGGTGAGTGGCTGAGTCCCTTCACCAAGTACAGAGAAAAGCGGGACTCATAAGGTAAATTTAAAACCTGTTTACTATTCTGGAAATTTCTAAATACGTAAGAATCCCATAAACCATAAGAAATAAAGTAAATTATTACTAACAGTGATAGTAATAAAAAGCTTATGAGATGCAAGGGATAACTGCAGCAATGGATTTAAATATTAATACCGGGTTAAGAAGATCTCTTTCAGGACTAACATCTCTCTTTTTGTGCTCTGGCATGTGGGTCATCCCTGCTCCCAATAATCAAAATTCCACTGTATCGTTGTTAACACTAGAGAGTTGTCCAATTAAAAACCAAATCAGTATTTCAGTATGTAAAAACCCAACAGCTCCACAGAGACCATAGAATCATCATCAGAATTATGAAAAAATAAACCAGCAGTTTCTATAGCCTAAGAAGATGTTCTATTACTCACTTTTAATCCCGCTGCATAGCCCACTGGTTGTGGGGCAATGTTGGACTGTCCGGCTTCCCCTATAACCACAGCTAGGCCGAAGACCTCCTGGAAGGCATCTCGGACGGCAGCAACTTTTACTTCTTTATTTGAGGTCACTACAATATCCAGTTCACCTCCAGATTCTAAAAAGACCAGAAGAAAATTTCAAATTAATGAAATTCTCATAATTACTACACGCCCTAACATTTTATGACATAATTAGTACCAACCTGGCAAAACGACACAAGATACAGATTAACCTTTTTATTGGCTGAGGAAACTGAGGCCGACAAGGTCTTGCCCGAGGTCACACAGCTACTTAGCAGTGATGTCAGGACTCAGCCCTAGGCCTGTCCATTTTGAGTCTAGCCTGGGGAAGTCACGGAGCTTGCTTCCTTAAAGAAAAATTCCTGCCACTCACAGAGCTTGCTCTAAGGATTAATAAGGTAAATGCTTCAAATAGGTAATGGGTCTAACACAATACACATTAAAACAAGAGCTCTGAAAATACTAATTCTCTTTTCCTCATTAAAAATAAGATCCTGTGAAAAGAATATATACATTACAAATTATATCAAACTTGATTACTATGAATAATATAAAATCAATATATATGGTAGGGTCCAATTGTGATAATTAGAAACACAGAGACCAATTCAGTTGAATTAATTCTTTGATTCAATTTTCTACTTAAAGGGAAGCAAAGTGGCTGTTAGCTCCACCAAGCTGTATGACGGAGAATAATAATAAATTTCTCTGAACACAAGTTCCTCATCTAAAACTTGGGGAAAATAACACCTAGCTTGCAGATCTCTTATGAGAATTAGTATCTGGCAGATCAAATATTTAATAAATGGTACTTACCATTAGCAGGTCTTATCTTTTGACATTTACTAGACAGTCAATTATCAAGAGACTCAAGACTTGAGAAAGTTATTAACTTTTAATTGCTACTGAAAACCTCTGTTCAAGTACCTGATGCACAGCTTTAGCCACTAAATTACCTTCAATAGATTTATGAATAATTGGTCACAAACCCTGCTGAACGATTATGTTATTTCACTTATTGGATATGTACATTAACCTTCTGGAGAATTCCTGGTAATGAGGGTTCCAAGGTGGTTAAAATTGAAACAGCTTTCCTAGCAAACCTAATAATGAGATATTATTAGTAAACAGATTAACAGCCTCTAAAAATTTTATTCCTGAGATACACATAACCACATTTAATTAAAATAGATAACTGAAGAAATGCCAAAAACCATATATGAACAAAGCAACACTTCAAATGTCAATAGTGATAGTAAAATTCATATAAAGCAACACTAACCATATTTATAATTAAAATCAGCAAGTGTACTAATAATTCAAATCATTTTTACTCCTGCAAAGTTTGTGCTGTGAAGTTTTCCAAAATTTTAATGATGACTAAGAAAAACATGAATTAAAAGCACCAAGACTAACAATCAGTATAAGAACACAGGAGGATTGCCACTGATTACAAGACCTGTAGGATTACACTCAGTGGCTGACATGAGCGCATACTTTACATGGCAAATGCTGCTCTAGTTTTACATACTGATATACGGAGCCATGCCAGGGTCCAGCGTTGTAATCATGCTTTCTACCGAATGTTTCGTTTTATCGAGCACGGATTTCACCATAGGGTTCCCAGCCACACCCTGCACAGAACAAATTCACATGTAAATACTCATTCTAAGCAAAGATCACCGTGATTACTGGATGGTGAAAAAAAATTTAAGTTTCCAATGCACTGCAGACCTATACTTTTGTAAAGTGTAAGAAAAATAAGGCTATGGCAATGTCAAATTACTATGAAATTTCAAAATGCTTCCCCTCAACTTCTCTTCATCTCATTGTGACTGACAGTAACCTACAGACCCTACTTCAAGCAACACTGACCTGTTTATTGTATATACGCATGTGTATGCATGTATATTAATTTCATTTCTATGTATACATATATTTTTACTTATTATTTATTTAGTTATCTATATAAAAGACTAGGCAAAACTTGTCCATTAGGGTCTCAAATAAAGACTGTAATCAAATGTTTCTCCAAACACTCATATTTTGTTCCCTAATAGTAAAAACAATTTATCTTTACTTCCCAGAAAAATTACTTATTACTTTAATATTAATACTCTATATCTATGAAAGTTTTCTTTTTTCCTACTCCCTATTTGTTTTGTTCCAAACTCTCACTTTTAAAAAAGACCTATTCCTCTGAATTCTTAAAACCACACTATTAGATAGAAAGAACCAGATCTGAGGAGTTCCTTCCATCTATGCTTCTCCCACAGTGGAAGAGACTTAGAGGGAGCAATGCCTCCTGAGATGGCATCTGGCTGACAGGCCATGATTCCACCTGTCTCAACCTACCATTAAACTAAGGTGATTCAAAACAAAAAGTGACTTCATAACATCGATATTTAAGACTGTCAACTCATCTTATGCTGAATATTAAAAGAGTTATTTACAAAATCTGTATAGCTGAACTATTACAACTGGTAACTGACATGCTAACACAGGCTCTTAACAAGGAAAAGAAGTCATAGTTCCTACATAAAGAAAACCTTTAAAAAGCACAAAGTGATAAAAAGAAGCAAACTTAGAAAAAATGCCATCTTTCTAATACATAAAGCTCAAATGCTGTAAATCAGTTTAACTCCCTAACAATTAAACAATATGTTTCACATATAATCAAATTACAACCAAACCCTCAGAATATTGAAGAGAACTTGACAAAGTGACTTTGGAATCATTTAAGAAAGTAGTTAAGAAAAACAAATGGAAAAGACCAGTAGAGAAAAATTTTGAAGAGAAAACAGAAAACTTATACAACCAAATGCTGATCTGTCTTTAAGAATGCAAAGACTGCGAACTTACCTTTCCATCTGATTCAACAGATATTCCAATCCCCACCTCAGCACAGAGTAGGCTTTCAATAAATATTAGTGTAACAAACAGTTACAATAATTAAAATAGTGTGGTACTGCTGCAAGGACAGGCAGAGCAGGGAATAAAATACACAGCCCACTAACTGACATTATCAGACACAATTTGGTAACTAAGATGAAGGTGACATATCAAATCACTGGGATATGATTTTAGAATACTCGATTAAGTGGTTGGAAAAAAAAAGTAAGTTTGATTTCTACCTCCACAATATATTAAAGTATCAGCTATATCAAACGGTCTGGTAAAAAATACTGCCATAAGAAAATTAAATCATAAAAAAGCAATGATCACAATGTAGTAGGTAAAGATCATTTTTATCATTTAAAAAAACTCATAGAAATGACTTCCAAAAATTTAGAAGATTTTGTGTCAATAAAGCATAGTAAAGTTGAAATGTAAGATAAAAATGGAGAATATGGCAACATATGACAGCATAAAATAAAATATTCTTAAGAGTTCTTATGAAGTCACTAAAGAAGAAAATAATCCCAATTCAAAACTGGGCCAAGAATATGAATACAGACATCACAAAAGAAAAATACAAATGGTCAAAAATCAGTTTAAAAAATAGCTCAAATTCAATAACAAAGTAATGTAAATTTAAACAAGGTATTGTTTTCTTTGCCTATCAAATTAGAAAATAATAATCATTTCTGGCAAGTGAAAGATCTTACAACAGGGTGTTCTGGTATAATTTACCTGGAGAGCAATATATACCTGTAGTTTTTAAAATGTTCACACTGACATTAGGAACTAACTCTGATAAAGCAGAAGTACACAAAGATTTGCATACAAGAGGCTCACCATAATTTTATTAATAAGAATTACAACCAGAAAACGCCAACAACAGGTTAGTGAAATAAAACACAGGAAATAAATGCAATGAATGACATGTTGGGCAAAGTAAACTGAATATTTTATGGCTAGAAAGTTGTTCATGATCACTAGGTAAAGCTAAACAAAAGACACAAAATTGTATCCACATGTCACTACTTCACTTTGCTTTTAATTAAAGAGATATATCTACCTAGATATGCACATCCAGAAGACTAAGAGGAACTATAGAAAGAGTATAGTAAAAGTAAAAGGCACTCAGTTGTGTTCAACTCTTTGCAACCCCAGGGACTATACAGTCCATGGAATTCTCCAGGCCAGAATACTGGAGTGGGTAGCCTTTCCCTTCTCCAGGCGATCTTCCCAACCCAGGGATCGACCCAGGTATCCCGCATGGCAGTGGGTAGCCTATCCCTTCTCTAGCAGATCTTCCAGACCAAGAAATCAAACTGGGGTCTCCTGCATGACAGGTGGATTCTTTACCAGCTGACCTATCAGGGAAGCCCAGAAAAAGTGTAATAAGACTAAAAAGATATTTTACAATGATTTTTCCTTATACTATTCTTTTTTACTTTCAAAATTCTCTTTAAGTTTTATAATTAAAAAATTACACACAGTTTTTAAAGTAAATACCCCTTACCTTTATAAAACCCCAGAGTCCACCAGCTGAAGCTTCATCCTGACCTCTACCAATTCTAGGGTCTTCCTGCTCTTCTGGGAAAGTGATGGCTGATGTAGTTCCAGTTCCCTGTGCCACAGATGTCAAACCAGCTTGCTGAGTAATAGGAGTTGGCAAAATACCTAGTTAATGGCAAAAGTGTTAACATATGTCATTTATTCCATAAAATATCTCCTATAAAAAAGATGATAAACATATGAAATAGGTAGTTCAAAACAACTTTAATCATGTTACTATATACTCAGGCATTTCAACACTGAGATATGAATTCAAAGAATCACCTAAATAAATTACACAAACTCCAAAAAAGAAATTTCTTTCCCTCTTCTTAGGCTTACTATCTAGTGCCCTGAAAATGGACCAAAAAAATATACCCAAAAGTACTTTATGTTTGCCCAATGTAGCACGTGGACGCAAACAGCTATAGCCTGATTCTCCTTAAACCATAAAAATAACTGTTATGAGCACTCAAGCTCATCATACAAAATTCATATAAAAATTAGTAAACATATCCATATATGATATTTTAACTCAAAAAGAAAATCCACATATACATACACATGGGTATCATACCTGCACTCTGCAAAAGTTTTTGTTAAACTAGATAATCCAAACTGGATTAAAAAAAAAAATCACAACAAAGTTGTTTCTTTTCCTAAAATTAGAGAAACAATAGGAAGAATATGACAGGATGAAGTTTTAATACTGATTTCCAATAACCATTCCAGGGAAGCCAAAAAAAGTAGGTGTTCTTGACCTAGAAAATAGAATAGTCCAATACCACCAACTTACGGTACATACACTTATTTGATTTTGAACTTTTACATGGCTAAATAAACTGCTCCCTGGATCACTCGGTCCTGATAATTTTTAAGTAAAGCTAAACTCAGACTTCACCTTGGTGTTTCTCTATAACCACACAAAATATTAGGACAAAATTTTGGAATTTTGTCTGACATTTCCCTTCCTTTGTGGCTCAGCTGGTTAAGAATCTGCCTGCAATACAGGAGGACCTGGGTTGGATCCCTGCATTGGGAAGATTCTCCTGGAGAAGGGAAAGGCTACCCACTCCAGTGTTCTGGCCTGGAGAATTCCATGGACTGTACAGTCCATGGGGTCACAAAGAGTCAGACACGACTGAGTGACTTTTGCTTTCACATACTAACCATGTTCTAAGTTTTATATCATATAAAAATCATATATTTAGCAACATCAGTTTTAATACTTTAAATGAAAATAGGAAGCTGTGGAAATCAAGGAAAAGGGAATAAAATATTCATGCAGAGTAACAAGAACCCTCCTTAATGCTGCTAAGAAAGTAAAATGAATGGTGCAGCTGCTTTAGACAGTAGTCTGATGGTTGCACTAAAGTCAGCAATTCTGACATGCACCCCAAGAGCAGCACTATTTACAAGAGCCAAGACATGGAAGCAACCTAAATGTCCATCAACAGATCAATCAATAGATGTGGTATATGTATACACAATGGGATATGTATACTCAGCCATAAAGAATGAAATGATGCCATTTGCAGCAACATGGATGGACCTAGAAATTATCATACTAAGTGAAGTAAATGAGACAAATATCACGTTATTACTTACATGTGGAATTTTAAAACATGATGCAAATGAACTTATTCACAACACAAACTCACAGACATACCAAAAAAATAAAAAATTGATGGTTATCAAAGGCGAAAAGGGGGGATAAATTAGGAGTTTGGGATTAACAGAAAAACATTACTATATATATATAACAGATAAATAACAAGGACCTACTGTATAGCACAGGGAACTCTACTCAATATCTTGTAATAACCTATAATGGAAAAGAATCTGAAAAAGAATAGATATAGATATATGTGTAACTGAGTAACTATGTGCACACCTGAAACTAACACAATGTTATAAAGCAACTTTACTTCAATTTATTAAAAAAAAAAAAAAAATGAAGCCCTTCAGGAAAAAGAAAAAAACTCAGCAAGTCTGAACCTAGGTACATACTCAAAAGAAATGAAAACATTTCTACATAAATCTTGCACACCAAGGTTCATAAAATCAGTACTCACCATAGCCAAAAAGTGGAAACAACCAACAGTTTATCAACTGATGAAATGAATAAACAAAACATGGGAGAGCCATACAATGGAATATAGTTCAATCCTAAAAAGCAAGAACGCTCTGACACCTGTTACAACACGGACGAATCTTGAAAACATCACACTAAGTGAAAGTGGCCTGTCACAAAAGACTGCATACTAATACAAGTCCATTTATAGGAAATGTCCCAACAAGCACGTCTACAGAGACAGAAGGTACATTAGTGGTTCTGAGAACCATGAGGATTGGGAGAAGTATGGAGTGACTGCTAACAGGTATGCAGCTTCTTTGGGGGGGATTAAAAGGTTCTAAAATCGACTGGTGATGGCTGCACAACTTGGTAACTATAGTGACAACTATTACACTGCACACGTGAAAGCGGATTGTATGGGGATTACACCTCAATAAAGCTGTTACCAAAAAAACAGATAAAACACTCCCTATAGCCACCTGTTTCAAAGTGTCAATGAGAGAATACCTGTCACGGGAGGTGCAGAAAACGACGGCATCAGGGGCGTCTGTGGAGCTCTTCCTGCATGTCCCCTCGTGATGTCGTACGCTGAGCCAACAGAGAATCCCGAAGTGGGGGGACCCGACGGGGGCGCAGATAAGACAGTGTTTGGGGCAGAGGTGGAAGGCGGGAAGTGGGATAGAGGAGGATTACTGAAGGCAGCAGCAGTCGGCGGAGAAGCAGGAGGTGGCAGAGAGGTGACGAGCGGAGGGACAGAAGGAACGGGTGCGGACGGCAGGAAGGGCAAGGGCGCCGCAGGCTGCACGGGAGGCAGTGGCGGCTGGGGGGCGGGGTACGCCTGAGGCGGCAAGGTCTGCACAGAGGGCCCGCTGGGAGAAGGGAAGGTGCTGGCTGCGGCTAGGAAAGAGGGGAGGAAAATCACACTTCAGTGACATGCTTTTCATTTAGTTTTCAAAGTATCTCATTACCATCTTGGAAAATTTTTAAATTTAACAGACCCTATTCCCAAGAGTTATCTTTAAATACGTAATTTAAAATACATGAGTATGACTGAGCGCAAATGACTTTCAATTCCCATCAGTAAAAGCAGCAGGTCTATAAAATTAAGTTATGGTATTGCAGATCTTTGCTGTTTCTGTTTGTTTTGCTGTGCTTTTAATAAAATAGACCTGCTTTTCATCTCCGCTAATACGAGCATAAAACTTCACAATTCAGGGCTGAAAAACTCTGGTCAGAAGGTTAATCTCCACAAAGTCACAGAACGTTAGACAAAGCTAACACATGCTTTTTAGGATATTTCTGTCATAACAAAGATGATTTCTAGTTAATATGAAAACAAAAAATAAAAATTAAAGCAAAACAAAGATGTTTTCTGCCTTTGGGCTTAAATAAAAAAGGCTATTTACCTTCATCCTGGCAAAGATACAAAAGATACAAAAGTTTTAATATAGAGGCACACCTCAATTTATTTTGCTTCATTTTACAAACTGAAGGTTTGTGGCAACCCTTACGTCAAGCAAGTCTATCAGTGCCGTTTTACCCGGCAGCATTTGTTCTTCGTGCCTCTGTGCGACATTGTACCTCTCAAAATATTTCAAACTTTACATTATTATTCTATTTGTTATGGTGATGCATGATCACTGACCTTCGGCACTGCAAAAAGATTACAACTCACTGAAGACCCAGATGACAGCCAGCATTTTAAAGCAATGCTTTAGCAAAGTATTTAATTGTAGTAGGTACACTGTTTTCTTTTTTAGACATAGACATAATCTATTGCACATTTAAGAGACTACAGTATAGTGCAATCATAATTTCTATATGCACTAGGAAATAAAAAAATTCATGTGACTTGCTTTATTGCAGTGGTCTGAAACTGAACTCACAGTATCTCTGAGGTATGTCTCTAGGCTTTTGTTAAATGACTCTGAGAAAAGATGACAGTATCCTGACTCTCCTCAAAACCCACTGACGCTAGACAACTGCACGTACCTAAAGGAGCCGGGGCGGAAGACAGTGCAGCAGAAGCCAGGCCCCCAGAATTCGGTGGGGGGGTCCCAGGTGGTGTTGTCTCTATTCCACTCTCTTCCATCATTTTTCAATTTCAGTACAACTGTAAAAATATTAAAATGTAATAAAGATTACACAGTAATAAAAAGTATACTTTTAAACCTTGTATAGTTAGAGAATAAAGCATTTAGAGAAGAGCTAACACCTATCCTTCTCAAACTCTTCAAAAAAAAAATTGTAGAGGGAGGGACACTCCCAAACTCATTCTATGAGGCCACCATCACCGATACCAAAACCAAAGACATCACACACACAAAAAGAAAATTACAGCCAATTACGGGCCATGTCCATCACTGATGAACACGGACACAAAAGTCCTCAACAGAATACTAGCAAGCAGAATCCAACAACACATTAAAAAGATCACACACCATGATCAAATGGGATTTATCCCAGGGATGGAAGAATTCTTCAATGTATGCAAATCACTCAATGTGATACACAATATTAACAAATGGAAGGGGTAAATCATAGGAAAATCTCAATAGATGCAGAAAAAGCTTCCAACAAATTTCAATACCCATTTATTACAAAAACAGGCACAGAGCAAACCTACCTTAACACAGTAAATGCCATATATGACAAATCCACAGCAAACATTATTCTCAATAGTGAAAAACTGAAAGCATTTCCTCTAGAATCAGGAACAAGACAAGGGTGCCCACTCTGGCCAATATTATTCAACATAGTTCTAGATGTCCCAGCCACAGATATCAGAGAAGAAAAAGAAATAAAAGGAATACAAATTGGAAAAGAAGAAATAAAACTCACTGTGGATGACATGGTAGTATACATAGAAAATCCTAAAGAGGCCACCAGGAAACTATTAGAGCGAACCAATGAACTTAGTAAAGCTGCAGGATACAAAATCAATACACAGAAATCTCCTGTATATCCATTCACTAACAATGAAAGATTAGAAAGAGAAATTAAGAAAACAATCGCACTTACCATTGTAACAAAAAGAATGAAATACCTAGGAATAAAACTACCTGAAGAGACAGAAGACCTGTATGCAGGAAACTGTAAGACACTGGTGAAAGAAATCAAAGACAACACAAATAGACACAGAGCTATGCTATGTTCTTTGAATAATCAATATTGTGAAAATGACTACGTTATCCAAAGTAATCTACAGATTCAGGCCAATCCCTCTTAAATTACCAATGCCATTTTTCACAGAACTAGAACAAAACATATTTACAATTTGTATGAAAACACAAAAGACCCCAAACAGCCAAAGCAATCTTGAGAAAGAAAGAGCTGGAGTAATCAGGCTCCCTGACTTCAGACTGTACTACAAAGCTGCACTAATCAAGACAATACAGTACTGGCACAAAAACAGAAATACAGTTCAATGTCTAGAGATAACCTGAGGCACCAATAAGCACCTAATGCTTGACAAAGGAGGCAAGACGATACAATGGAGAAAAACAGCCTCTTCAATGAGAGGTGCTGGGAAAACTGGACAGCTACATGTAAAAGAACGAAGTTAGAACATTTCCTAACACCATCACAAAAATAAAACAGATTAAAAATCAAGTCTAGACACTATAAAACTCTTAAGAGGAAAACATAAAACACTCTGACATAAAATACAGCTAGATCCTTTCTGACCCACCTCCTAGAGTAACAAAAATAAAAACAAAAATAAACAAATGGTCCTAATAAAACTTAAAAGGCTTTTACAAAGCAAAGGAAACCATAAACAAGATGAGAAGACATTCCTTAGAATGGGAGAAAGTATTTGCAAATGAAACAATTGACAAGGGATTAATCTCCAAAATATACAAGCAACTCATGTAGATCAATGTCAAAAAAATAAACAGCCCAATCAAAAAATGGATGGAAGACCTAAATAGTCACTTCTTCAAGGAAGACATACAAATGGCTAATAAAAACACAAAAAAGTGCTCAATACCATTTATTACTAGAGAAATGCAAATCAAAACTACAATGAGATATTACCTTATTCTGGTTAGAACGGCCATCATCAAAAAAATCTACAAACAATAAATGCTGGAGAGGGTGTGGAGAAAAGGGAACCTTCGTACACTGTGAGACTATAAATTGATACAGCTACTACGGAGAACAGTATAGAGGTGCCTTAGAAAACTAAAAATAGAACTAACATACGATCCAGCAATCCCACCATCTGGGCACACACTCTGAGAACACCATAATTCAAAATACACACGCACCCCAATGTTCACTGCAGCACCATTTGCAACAGCCAGGACACGAAAGCAACCTAGATGTCCATCAACAGATGAATGGATAAACATGTAGGGGTACATACACACAATGGAATATTACTCAGTCATAAAAAGGAACAAAACTGGGTCAGGGACAGACCCAAGTCTGTCATACAGAGTAAAGTAAGTTAGAAAGAGAAAATATTATGTATTAACACATATGTATGAAATCTAGAAAGATGGTACAGGCGAGTCTGTTTGCGGGGCAGGAACAGAGGTGCAGACAGAGAGAACAGGCATGTGGACATGGTGGGGGGTGGGGAGAGCAGGCCTGACATATACACACTACCATATGTAGGGCAGATAGGCAGAGGGAAGTTGTGTAACACTGTAACAGGGAGCTCAGCGGACCCGCAGGGGAGGGACTGGGGCTGGTGGGCTGGGAAGGCGGCTTAGGGGCGCGGTATATGTCTTCATATAGCTGATCCACTTCGTTGTCCAGCAGAAACACACACAACACTGTAAAGGGACTATATGCCAATAAAATAAAATAAAAATTACATAGCTCAAATGTAAATACATAACCAACAGATAGATGTCTGTTTTTACTGTACACAATGCCACTTATCTCCAGGTAAAGGATTTGCCAAAATTTTAAGCAGTGAGACTATTTAATGTGCAAACAATCTGAGACATTTTCATACACCTACTTCATAATTGAGAAATAATTTTATGTTAGCTATGTAATTACCCAATATATCTCAAATAGTAAATTACTAATTTCTGCCACAGGAATGCATGTTAGATTTATATCTAGATTCCAGTCACTATTACTTCAAAAATAAATTATGTAAAGTATTTCTGAAACACCTCCTCCCTCCTCACTAAGCAGTGTACATGGGCTACTCCTGTTAACAGGCTACTCCACTTCCCAGGTGGCTCAGAGGAAAGAATTTACGTGCCGAAGCAGAAGATGTGGGTTTGATCCCTGGGCTGGGAAGATCCCCTAGAGAAGGAAAAGGCAACCCACTCCAGTATTCTTCCCTATTCCCAGTTTTTCTTTGTTTACATTCTAAAAGGTACCGCCCACCTGCCAAGGCAAGAGAAACAGGTTTGATCTCTGGGTCACGAAGATCTCCTAGAGAAGGAAATGGCAACCCACTCCAATACTCTTGCCTACGAAATCCCATGGACAGGAGAGCCTGGCAGGCTAGTCCACAGGATTGCAAGAGTCAGACGTGACTTAGCAACTAAACAACAACATAATGGCTAAATGATTAGGTCTCAGCTTTTAGAAAAGTCAGTTTTTAGCAAAAGTGCCACGAGCATTTTTCCTAACAGACAAAAATGGATTACAAAAATGTTGGAAAATTTTCCTTAAAAATTACAAACTTTCAAGCCTACTTCAAGGATAAAATGAGAACTTCTAAATACATCACAAATACGTTTTTGAAGTTTTTACTCATTTCACAAATATTCAGCAAAGGTCAATCACTTGCCAAGCACTACACTAGTGCCTCTGGAAATAAGACTGTAAGCAAAAACAAACAGGATACTTACAGTCCAGCCCAGGAGACAACCAATAACACCAACATACAGTGAACTGTAGCCTGAATGATGTGCTCTGAAGATAAGAACAATTCTGTTTGCTAGAAAATGATTTTGACTTGGGGTCAGAAAGGGATGATCAGGATTTAATTAGGAAAGGGAAAGAAGACAAGGAGAGTACATGCCAAAAAAAGTGAATATACAGAAAGTCAGAAAGGAACAGGAATGAGGATTGGAGACCTGGATGGGAGCCCAGACTGTACTGAGATTTACAAGCCAAGTTAAAGAGTAGAATCTTCTAAGAACAGAAAGTCACCGTGGGGGCATTCAAACTAGGGATGATGTTACTTGTCTTTTAATTTCTTTGAAGGAATTTTAGACTTACAAGAAGATGCCAATACAGGGCAGAGTTCATCAGTACCCTAAACCCAGCTCCTTCCAATGACAGCATCCTACATAACTAGGGTTCAACCATAAAATCTAGGAAATTAACTCTGGCACAATATGGGTAACTGAAGTATAAACCTTCTTTGGATTTCACCTGTCTTTATTCACATGTGTGAGTCTGCATGCAGTTCTATGACATTTCATCATATGCACTGACTCTCGGAGCCAACACCACAATCAGGACACAGAACTGTTCCATCTCCCCAAACAAACTCCCACGTGCTGTTCCTTGGTTACACCCTCTCATCTGCCATACACCCTGACAAACAACTGTTCTGTTTTCTCATTTCATGAATGTTACAAAAATAAAACCATACTGCATATAAGCCTTCTGAAATTGGCTTTTTTCATGCAAAAGGGTGCTCTCAAGATCCATCCAACGGCTTGGATCTTTATCATTGCTGAATACTATCCCATTTTATAGATGTTTGATTATCCATTTATTTGTGGAAGGATATTTAGGCTGCTTTAGGCAATTCATATTTGTGTTTTGAAAACATTCCTCTGACCAAAGAATGCAGACCGTGCCATAGGGCATCTACACAGAACAGCAGGGAGACCCTTAAGAAGGATACAGAAGTATTTCAAATAACATTCTAGACTAGTGATTCTCAAACAGGGAGTGAAGAAGGGTGACCTGCCCCTCAGGGGTCATTTGGCAGTGTCTGAAGACATTTTTGTGGTCCAGTGGTTAAGAATTTGCCTTCCAGTGCAGGGGTCATAGGTTCAAACCCTGGTTGAAGAACTAAGATCCCCACATGCTGCAGGACAACTAAGCGTGCACACTCCAATTGCTGAGCCCGCACGTGACAACTAGAGAAACCCATGCACTGAGAAGGACGATCTCGCATGCCACAGCTAAGACCCAGGTAGCCAAAGAAATAAATATTAAAAAAACCCAACAACTACAAAGTATTAGGGGTATCTAGTAGGTAAAAGCTGGAGACACAGCTAAAAATTCTACAATGCACAGGACAGTCACAAGAATTATCTGGCCCCAAACAACAATGCCAAGGTTGAAAAACTCTGGTTTAGCCTAAAGTGATGACAGTGGAAATGGACAAGAGTGGATAGACTCAGGAGATGTTTAAGTGGGAAGACCCAGCAATAGGCTGGATATGGGGTCCAGGAAGCGGAGAGGCATGACCCGCACACCTGGACAGATGGTGGTGCCATTCAATAAGATAAGGAGCACTGGAGGAGGTCAAAGTGTGTGTCTGATGTTTTGGGAAAGAAGGGATTACACAGTATTTCATATTGGACATGCTAAGTGCAAACTCCTTAAAGCAACCAAGTACAGCTGACTTGGTTTGCAGCTCAGAAACCACATAAATGGGGGCTTCGTCAGTTCACTGACAGTCCTTAAAGTCATGTGCTGAAAAGCGATAATCTGAGAAGATTAAGTGAAAAAAGAAGATGGCCCAACGAGGGGAAAAAAACACCTGCAGAGAAGAATGAGAGACCACAAAAACAGGAAAAAAACCAGAAGGCAGTGGTGTCCAAAAACCAGAGAAGGGTGTTCAAGGCAATGGTATCGGATGCTGCAGAGAAGCCAAATAGGATGATATATGAAAAAGTCAATAGATTTGCCAAACTGGAGTTAAAATTTAGTGAGAGCTGTTTCCAAAATGGAGTGAGGATAGAAGCCAGTTTCAAACTGGACTGAGGTAGGAAGTAAAACAAATATGCACAACACTTTTAAAACTTTTACTATGAGTGTAGATGAAAGATCTATGGGCAGGAAGTAGAAAGCAGATATCCAGACAGGCAAGATCCTTTCATTCAACAACATCTACTTCTGCTTCGTTGACTATGTTAAAGCCTTTGACTGTGTGGATCACAATAAACTGTGGAAAATTCTTAAAGAGATAGAAATACCAGATCACCTTACCTGCCTCCTTAAAAATCTGTATGTAGGTCAAGAAGCAACAGTTAGAAGAGGATATGGAACAATGGACTGGTTCAAAATTGGGAAAGGAGTACGTCAAGGCTGTATATTGTCACCCTGCTTATTAAACTTATAAGCAGAGTATATAATGTGAAAGGCCAAGCTGGATGAAGCAGAATTTGGAACTGAGACTGCTGAGAGAAATATCAACAACCTCAGATGTATACATGAGACCACCCTAAAGGCAGAACGTGAGAAGGAACTAAACAGACTCTTGATGAGGGTGAAAGAGGAGAGTGAAAACGCTGGCTTAAAACTCAACATTCAAAAAGCTAACATCAAGGCAACTGGTCCCATCACTTCATGGCAAATAGATGGGGGAAAGGTGAAAACAGTGGCAAATTTTACTTTCTTCAACTCCAAAATCACTGTGGAATAGTGACTGCAGCCATGAAATTAAAAGACATTTGCTCCTTGGAAGAAAAGCTATGACAAACATAGACAGTGTATTAAAAAGCAGAGACATCACTTTGCCAACAAAAGTCCGTTAGTCAAAGCTATGATTTTTCCAGTAGTCATGTACGATGTGACAGATGGACCATAAAAAAGGCTGAATGCCGAGGAATTGGTGCTTTTGAATCATGGTACCAGAGAAGACTCTTCAGAGTCCCCTGGACAGCAAGGAGATCCAGTCAATCCTAAAGGAAGTCAACCCTGAATATCCACTGGAAGGACTGATGCTGAAGCTAAGGCTACAGTACTTTGGCCACCTGATGCAAACAGATGGCTCATTGGAAGAGACCCTGAGGCTGGGAAAGATTGAAGGTAGGAGGAGAAAGGGGTGAGCACAGAGGATGAGATAGTTGGATGGCATTACTGATTCAATGGACATGAGTTTAAGCAAGCTCCGGGAGACAGTGAAGGACAGGGAAGCCTGGCATGCTGCAGTCCATGGGGTTGAAAAGAATTAGACACGACTCAGTGACTAAACAACAGATCAAAGGTAGATAATATGGGACAGAACCACCTCCTGGGGACTTTATCACTCCCTGACAAAGCTCTCTCTTTTCATCTCATTTTTTCACTGGTTATTCATCTTCCTACTACAAATGCTACCAATCCTCAAAGTGATTAGTGGGAGTCAAATTTAAAGATAAACATAACTTAATGAAGTGCAATGTTTACACTTGCAAAAGACCTTGTACAATGAATACAACCCATAAAATGGAATATTGGTCAATTTCTTTCTGTCTTTAAAAGCTAGACTGTTTGAGAACTAGCTTAACGACAATACTGGGTAAATCTTGGATTCATAAACAATGTGCTCAATCACGTCTGACTCCTTGTGACCCTTGGACTGTAGCCTACCAGGCTCCTCTGTCCATAGAATTCTGCAAGCCAGAATACTGGAGGGGGTAGCCATTTCCTCCTCCAGGGGATCTTGCCCACCCAGGGATCAAACCCAAGTCTTCTGCACTGTATGAGGATTCTTAACTGCTGAGCCACCAGGGAATATAATACCATCTACTAAAGAAAAGTTTGTGATAAAAGTAACAGGGAACTGTCAGAGTTGTAGAGGTTCTAAAAGCTTAGTCTCAACACAAAAATTATATTAATGTATCAGCATTAAAGAAAAAGTGATGGAAATGGGTTGGAAAACTGGGTCCATTTCTGGATGCACTCTGCTCTTCCAATCTGCTTGTGCCTTGGATTGTCTCTTAAAAGTAGGTGGCTATTTATAAAGATACAAGAGGTGGAATAATGAACCTCTGATAAACATAAAATCTTATTTAAAACCATTACTACTGTTAATGTACTACCGGTTCAAAGATGCTCTCTACTACCCTTTAGTGAGCACTGCTGCAGGAAGGTCTGAGTTTTGTCTCTGCATTCCCAGTTCTGATCCCAAAAATAACTTCTATAAATGTTCATTGACCAAATAGCAGCGGTAAAGGAAAAAGACTGGAATGTCAAAATGTGTCATGTTCGCGGAAACATACATGCTGTCTCTCAAGAACTACTTCCAACGACACTCTCTTAAACTGGACAAATTCTGCCAATCTAGGACACAGGCTATCCCGCAAATGTGCTCAAAGCAGGTCCTAAAAATGAACAAAGAGACAGCAGAGTGCAAAAGCCTTCCAGAGCGGCGCTAGGCATATAAGGGGGAACCCACTGTTAAAGAAGCTCCTTCTTAGTGCCCATCCCCATTTGTTGACCCGGGAGTCTCCTAGGCGGGAGCGGCCTCCCCCGGCTCTGCCACGTCTCCAGGCGGGCTGGGCAGGGCCAAGGTCGCCTACCTCCGGTCTCTCCCCTCTGGCCAGCGCGGTGGAAGGTGGAGCCAAACAGCCCGGGGCGCCGGTGTGGGTCCGGGGACTGGACCCTAGAACCGGCCAAGACCCCCGGGCCGCACTCTCCGCAAAATCCACAGCAGGAATGCTTGCCTCCTGAAGCCTACCGGTGCCTGGGCTGAACCCTGGACGCTCCAACAGCGGGAGACCGGACTGTACTACTAAGGAGCTCTCGAGCGACCCTCGCCTCCGGGCCCGGCCGGCCCGCCCCCCTCGCAGCCAAGGGGCCCCTGGGTGCTGGTTTGGGCGCCTGAGCCCCATCCCGCCGCCCACATGCACCCGCATTGCTGCCGGCCTAACGCTTACCTGCAGGCTCGAGATAGTGTCTGCGTGGCAGTGAAAAGTGGAGGCTAGACAGGCTAGGTGTAAGACTACGGCTGCGAGAACACGAGCAACATGCAAGTAAGACCCCGCAGCGCGCACGCCCGCCTCCAAGATGGCCACTGTAGGCGCCGGTTCCTGAGGCTGCCACGTCCCCGGCGCGCCGCCCCGCCCCGCGCTGAGTCCCGCCCCACGCCCCGCCCCACGCCCCGCCCCGCTCCCCCAGAGCCCCGCCCAGAGGCCGCAAGCTGAACCTGCTGGAGCACTTGGGTCCAAAGATCTTCGTGCCACCAGGCCGGGCGCTGTCCGCTCCAGAAACACGACTGCCGTCCTTTCCACTACGCAACCTCAGCATGCGAGAATGGAACCCTTGTTATTGGGTATAGCTCACTTACTCTGCGCCATGACCGCCCCCAGGGAAGGCGATTACCTCCCCCCAACCCAAGGGCATGCCTCCTCCAGGCGTGACTTCGCTCCCAAAACAGACTTATCCTATGTATTTTCAAAGATTTCCAGATAAGAGCGGTTGCCTCAGGAAAGAGAGTGAGCAGGGTGGCAGATACTATACTGATTTTCCCCAAGTTCATGTATTACACATATTTTAATGGAAAACCGAAAATCATCCACTTTCTTAACCTTATGTGCTGCACTTAAAACAGGTCCTGAAAGTCGGTGCCAATAATGTACCCTAAATAAATCAATCAATACAGTACATTGGAGGAATATAAAGAATTTGCGATCAGAAGCCCTGATTTGAGTCCTGACTGCCCTAGTGTTGCTTATGCAGTCATGTTACCTTATACAGATGGCTTATTCTCCTTGAGTCTCCATGTTTCTATCTGTGAGATAAGAATACTTGCCATCTCTAATCAAGCAGGTGAGAGAATCAAAATAAGACACACAAAAGCTCTTTTTAAAGTGCTGAGTGTTAAATACACGAATAACTGTTGTTTACCTTATTTTCCAATTCTTTCAGGAACTCATCTGTAGAATTAGCATTAATATATTTCTCAGACTTGACAGCTAAAAACATTTTAAAATACCTCACTAAAGAGTTAATACTGTTTAACTGTGCCCTAACTTCAGACAAAATGATTTGCAGCTTCAATGGATTGGTCCCTAAGTCGGTGACTCTTATCATGTCCCCTGAGATGTGTGTAGGTGGCTGTCTAGGTTACTCTCCATAGAGTGCTGTTTGGGGTGGTGCTAAAAAGAATTACCATCGCCCATCCTATTTGGTCAACACCCTTAATAACTGTAAGAACTGTTGGTTTCTCCATTCAATCAACAAATATATATTAGTGTCTGCAATGTTCTGAGCATCAGTACTGGAAATGTAGCAATGAACAAGACAGACAAGATCCTTACACTGAGGGAGAGGCAGATCTTCTCAAGGGAGAGGCAGGCTATGAGCAGAAAAATAAAGTGAGTACTGTTTGTGATGGGCACTTTGAGGAAAGTCAATGGGGTGAAGTGATCTTCACAACAACTGGGGGAGGCCACCTTGGATGGGCCAGAAGCGTAAGGTATCTCTGAGTACGTAGGATTTTACTTGAGAGCACAGGGAAGCAGCCCTGTGATTCTTTGAACAGAGGGAAAAACACCCAAAGGCTCTGAGGGTGGGTACCTGCCATGTCTGCAGAACAAGAAGGAAATTGGGACCAAGACGGTGGTTAGAAATGAGGTCAGAGAGATAGCAGGGCCAGATGGTAGCCAGCCTTGTAGGCCATCTTAAGGCCTTTGGGTTATATTTGGAGAGATATGAGAAGCAGGTGGAAGGTTTTGAGCAGAGGACAGATAAGATTTGCCTTCCATTTTAAGTCATATTCTGTTTGCTGTTTGAGAACTGTGAAGGGGGTGGTGGTGCAAAGACAAAAGTGGAATGATCACAATGAGGTGATGCTGCCTTAGAGTACAGAGTAGGCTGGCAGCCTGCAGTCTTTGGGGTCTCAAAGAGTCAGACAGGACTGAGCACACACACATGCATTAGTGTAACTAATGGGGCAGGCAGGGGAGGTGTACATGGTGTGGACATCTTTTGAAGGTCAAGCTGTCATGATTTCCTGATGGATTGGATGTAACTGTATTAGTTTTCTAAGACCTCCAAAACAAATTACCATGACTGGTTGGCTAAAAGCAACAGAAATTTATTCTCTCAGAGTTCTAGAGACCAGAAGTCCAAACTCAAGGGTCAGCAGGGCCTCTCTGAGGGCTCTTCCCTGTCTCATCCAGCTTGAGGGGCGCCAGCTATTCTTTGGATCATGCCAGCCTGACTCCAGTTTCTGCCTTTGTGTCCACATGGCCTTCTCTCCTGTGTCTGTCTTGCCTTTCTCTTATAAACATGCCAGTTATTGCATGTAGTGAAAGTGAAAGGCGCTCAGTCATGTCCAACTCTTTATGACCGGTGGACTATACAGTCTATGCAATTCTCCAGGCCTGAATACTGGAGTGGATAGCTGTTTCCTTCTCCAGGGGATCTTCCCAATCCAGGGATCAAACCCAAGTCTCCTGCATTGCAGGTGGGTTCTTTGCTAGCTGAGCATGTAGGACCCACCCTAAATCCACAATGATCTCATCTAAAGATCGTTAAGCGTCTAGACCCTATTTCTAAATAACCTCCTATTTACAAGTTCCCAGTGGACATATCTTTTTTGAGAAGGGCACTGTTCTACCCACTATATGGATCATGAGAGACAGGGGTCAACCAAATAAACAGGATTATAAAATGAATTTTGACATTAACCTTGAATTGCATTTATGTTTTACTCATCACTTTTCACTTGAATTTCAAAAGAACTTGTATGTCAGGTATTATTATTACTATTCCAATATTAGAAATAAGAAAACTAAGGCTCTGAGAATTGTGTGTAGACCTGGAATTAGAACCCAGAATTCTTTGTCTCTACCCCCAAATTCTTGCCTAATTTTGAGGTGATGGGTTAGAAGGTATGTTCTTAGACAAAGGGCAGTGAGGGGAGTCAAGGGAAAAATATAGCTTAGTGACAACAAACAAACTACGTAGGTCTTTTGGCTTTATCTAGTAGTCTTGTCTTGTGCTCAGTCATGTCCAACTCATTGTGGCCCCATGGACTGTAGTCTGCCAGGCTCCTCTGTTTCTGGAATTTTCCAGGCAAGAATACTGGATTGGTTGCCATTTCCTCCTCCAGGAGCTCTTCCCGACCCAGGGATCCAACGCATGTCTCTTGCATCTTCTGCACGGGGAGGTGGATTGTTTACCAAAAGCACCACCTGGGTTACTAGCATATCTCATCAAATTTCTTCCTAGAGGAAGTCTCTAATACATAATAGAGTTCATTTCTGAGCTACCATGAAATATACAGTGCTATAGTAGAATTTTGTTTTTATGGCTCGAAAACAAAGGCAAACCAAACTATTTCCCATTTGAGTTGAGGCTTTTTCCTAGCTCAGTTCAGAACTAACAGACCTATATATAGTCTTAAAGCAGTCCATAAATTTTGTACTGTTCATGTGAATATTGATGTGTGTTTCTCCAGGTGGAGAGGAGACCAGGCTGAGGTTCTGAGCATCTACAGCACAATCAGGACTGGAGACAGAGTTGAATCTGTGTGAGAGACCATGGGTTCTACTGAGAGAACAGTCTGTGAGTTGTATAGCCATGAAGGACATGTCAGTGGATGTGTTGAGGGTACTGGCCCAGGCATAGAGCTCAAGGTCTCATGCCCACACCCAACTCCTACAAAAGAGGATATGAAGCACCTTTGGCAACTAGGAATGAGGAGGGTTGTCCCAAACACTGCATGGAACATATGTGTTAGTCACTTGGTCATGTCAGACTCTTTGCGACCCCATGGACTGTAGCCCACCAGGCTCCTCTGTCCATGGAACTCTCCAGGCAAGAATACTGGAGTGAGTTGCCATTCCCTTCTCCAGGGGAATTTCCCAACCCAGGGATCGAACTTGAGTCTCCTGCATTGCAGGCAGAATTCTTTACCATCTCAGCTACCAGGGGTGCTATACCCTATACCAAAAAGTATTCTTTGTTTATCCAGAATTCAAATTTTGGAGGCAAGCAAGCCATGACCAAGAGTCTGAGAGGCAGTGTGAGGAAGATTGGGACACAGATGTTGGTACCAGATGCCCTGGGCTTGAATTCTGCCTCCAGTACCTGCTAGGTCAACAGCTGGCCTTGAGCACATTCACTTAAAATCACTGTGTCTGGATTTTTTTCACCTATAAACTGAGAACTTATAGTAATACTTTCCTCAGTCTTTTACTTGTGGACTGAATAACTAAATATGTGGCAAGTGCTTAGAACAGTGCCAGACTCACAGTAATCTCTGTGTTAAGTGTTACTCTTTGACTTTTAAATTGTCTAAATATTCACCCGACAATGACTATTTTAAACTGAAAAGATTTTTATTTGGGTGAGTCTGAGTTGTAATTTCCAAATAAAGGTTTGAGGTGCTTGTTTGTTTTCAACAGAAGAAAACTTCATCTAGTTACAAAGTAACTCAACCTCTCAATTTGCCAAGGACACTGCCAGTTTACGACTGTATTCCCAGCGTAACTAGTAAAAGCAACCACTTTTTATTCTCAAAAGTGTTCCACTTTGTACAATAAATTTTGTGTTTATGCTAGTTACAGAGCTATTAAGGAGTTCCTCTCTGCACATGTGAGTTACAGTGTGGAAATGTCAGTAACTGCCCCTTGCCTGCACAATCATCACCAGAGTCCACTGTGGTTTGCTTCAACGAAGTAACTTATCTTCCTAAAATAAGCATTTATAGGTGGTCCAGTGGTTAAGAATCCACCTTGCAATGCAAGGGACACTGATTCAATCCCTGGTCTGGGAAGATCCCACATGCCACAGAGCAACTAAGGCCATGAGCCACAACTACTGAATCAGTGATCTGGAGTGTGCAAGTCACAACTACTGAGCCTGTCTTCCATCACAAGAGAAGCCACTGCAATTATAACCTGCC